GCTGTCACCCTGCCTTCGTGAGCCCTGAGTGTCTGTCACATGTCCCACTGCTGTCACACCGGCCCCTCCGACCTTTGCCTGGAATTTCCCAGAATGCCCTTTCACCGTGGCTGAGAGGTAGTGACCTCGACCAGAACCCTCCCATTTCACAGAGGACAAAACGGAGGCCCAGAGAGGCGAGGGGCTGGCGTAGGCCCCTCAGCAAATCAGAATCAGACACCAGACTAGCTCTCCAGCCCAGGGCCTTCTGTCCACGCCCCCCCACCCCGTGCTGTGTGCTCCGAGGGGCTCCCTGGGTAGTGAGGAGAGGTAGGGGCTGCAGAGCAGTGTCCAAGGGACCACGCACGCACAGTGAGGTCCTGCTGCAAGGGCACCATATCCAAAGGGCTCTCACCTCTGCCCTTCTGCAGAGACCCTGCTGTTCTTCCTCTGAGAGATGGAGTCAGCTGACCTTAAGCTCCAGGCCTCTTGTCCCGACATTAGAGCCTTGGTGTCAAGCATGGCCCCCTGCAAGGGACCTCCAGAGCTGATCGGGAAGAGCCTGGGGAGCACAGGCTGGTTTATGCCATTCCTCCTCTGGCAGGAGGACAAGGGTACCACCCAGGGAGGTGTGGGAAGCAGGGGGCAAAGCAGGACTAAGGTGGCCTTTGTAAGACCACACAGTGGATTGGGAGGAGGGCGTATATTCTCCACTGTAGTGCTGCCCACCATGGGAGATACCAAAAAAGGAGGTCCCCAAGGAAGGGGCTATAGTGGCAGCTGCACCCCAGGCTCTGCTGAGGAGGCCCCTGGGGGAGATGTGCACAGGCCCTACCTGCCCGGGGCTCCCTGGGGAGCCAGGCCAGGGGGTACCCCAAGGAAGGCCACAGAGCTGGTTCAGAAGAGGGAGAGGAAATCCTCTCATGGGAGTCAGGGAGGGCCCCCTAGGGAAGGGACATTCATCCTGAGCCTTGAGGAGGAGATGGGGGCCAAGAGGTGAGGGAATGGCATCCTTGTATGAGCAGAGGCAGGGGGCTGGACACAAAGGCCAGGGAGCTGTGTATTCTCCTAGGAAGAAAGCCACACAGCAGGAGTCGGTGGTAAAGGGCCAGAGAAGGCTTGGGGCCTGATCCCAGGGTGCTGACGGAGTGCTTTGGATCTCAGGGAGCCACCTAAACCCTCAGCAGGGTACCTGAGTTGGGGGACACTGGTCAGAGTGGCATCTGGGGGACTGCTGGAACACAGAGGAGAGAGGACCAGAGGGGGAAGGTGGAGACCTTCAGCCCCCCTGCTCCCATCTAGTGCCAGGCCCCAGAGGACCCCGCTGTGCTCGACTTCACCCCAAGCCGGCCTCTGGCTTCCTCCTCCCCCCTCCTGCCTCCAGATACGGACGCAGAGCGACCAGTTCTCTGCTGCAATGGGAGCGATTAGATTAGAAGGTGATTTGAGGTCTGATTATCATGGTGGAAACTGGCCCCCTGCATCTTTTTCCATCATCTGTGCTGGGAGGTGAAGGGCAGCCCTCCCTGTCACCACCCAAGCCAGAGGACCGGCACCTTCATTTCTCAGCCAACTTTCTTTACTCACATGTTGGAAACCCAGCTACTGAGGCCTTGTCTCCTGGGTAGAGTTCCGTGTGACCAAGACAACAGGCAGAGACTTCAGATCCTGGCTCTGCCCCTTGCCAGGGACCCTGGACAAGCCACCTCCCCCCCCCCCAACAACCGAAGTTTCCTCCTGCATCAATTGAGGGCCAGCGTGAGCATCACGTGATATAATTGCTCACTTTGGGTAGCACTGTGCCTGCCACGCAGTAGGTGTTGTCTAGCTGGGTTGCTGTCACTGCCGTCTCCACTCTGTAAGTGCAACCGCGTGTGACTCTTTCCCTCTTTTGAAGTTTCCAGTGACCCCCTCTCCCCTACATGATGTCAGTTTCCTTGTTGGTCGAGTGGTGGTAGGCAACAGCCCCACACAAGCCGTCACAGAAAGTGTTTTGTCAGACGTTGTTTCAATGACCAAGGTCCTGACATGGGGCCTCGTGAGGACTGGGTGGCTCCTGCATCGACCTGAGATGGGAAGTCAGCAGGCCAGCCTGCTCGGCCCAGAGTCAGCATCTGGACTCATTCGGGGTTACCCCCCTCCCCCCGCATTCTCTGCATGAGATTCCTGTCCTGGGAATTCTCCCACCTGAGAATCTGAGTTCTTGACAGCTCACTGGGCCTCCTGCCCAATGTGTACACCTTCATGATGTGACTCCCACATCTGTGTCAGGACAGGAAGACGTTCTCCTGCCTTCAGGGAGCACACTGGATGGTGTCTGTCTGCCTCTCAGCAGAGCACTTTAAGACCCTAAGATCTTCGTGCCAAGGTGCTAGTGTAGCACACATTCACACATGCACAGGCATGCAAGTGCACAGATGCACACACACACACAAGATATTACACAAATCCTGGCAGGAAAGGAATGAGGCAGGTGAACCCCTTGAAAAGAGGGAGTGGATTTCTCGCATAAGGAAAATGCTTTAGGTCCTGGCTCAGAACACATGGACTCCTGTTTTAGGTAGATTCTAATGAATTTGCTGACCTGGGTTTCAAATCCCAAGCAAATTAGAAATCAACAGAAAGGGTGTTAGAGACAGGTTGCACCCAGAAAACATGGAGAAGGGGCACCCAGTGTTTAAAAAGCAGAATTGAGTTCCAGAAGCAAGTCCTGGAGGTTGGGGCCTCAGTATAGAGGTCTCAAGGCCTCCCCTGGGCAACATCTGGAAATCCCCGTATGGTACTTACTGTGTGCACAGCATAAGGATGGCCTGAGACAAGGCACCAGGCAGGAACAGAGTTCTTAACTTCTGCATTTAAAAAGGAAGGGCAAGATGCACTGTAGAAAGTTTTCTACCCAGAATGATAAAATTAAAGTCAGGGGGGAAAATGGGTGTCTGGAGAGCAAAAATTCACTTATGTAGATTCTGTCAGCTTCCCGGGCTGGGCCCAGCCATCCAACTCAGTGACATTAAACACATTCACACTCGTGCAGCCACCACCACTGTCTCTCTCCGGAACTTTTCATCTTCCCAAACTAAAACTCCCTGTTCCTCTTCCCCAACCCCTGGTAACCCCCATCCTACTTTCTGTCTCTATGAATTTGACTACTCTCAGGGACCTTACATGAGTGGGACCACCATTTGTGACTGGTTGATTTCATGTAGCACAATGTCCTCAAAGTGTATCAGAATTTCCTTCCTCTTGAAGGCTGAATAGAACTCCCATTGTGTATACGGAGCATCAGTTTGCTATAACAATACATGCAAACCCATGTTTATGGCATCACAATTCACAATAGCCAAGTTATGTAACCATCCCAGGTTCCACCAGCAGATGAACAGGTAAAGAAATATATACACACCATGAATTTTATTCAGCCATAAAAAAGAATGAATATGTCATTTATAGAAAAAAATATGGAACTGGAGATTATATGTTAAGCAAAATAAGTCAGACTCAGTATGTCAAGGGTCACATGTTTTCTCATATGTAGAAGCTAGAGAGAACAAAGTATAAAAAGGGACCTTATGAAAATAGAGGAGAGGGGTCTGGGGATGTAGCTCAGTGGTAGAGCATTTGCCTGGCATGTGCAAGGCACTGAGTTCTATCCCCAGCATTAGTGGGAAAAAAATAGGAGAGAGACCAATAAAGGAGAGGGGGGGAGTCAGAGGTGGGGAGGGAGGAGGGAAGGTCATGATGGGGAATGAAATTGATTTATCAAATTATGTTATGTACATCTATAAAGAATTCAAAATGAATCCCACTATTATATGTAATCATAATGCACCAGTAAAAAAAAAAAAATAGCCACTTCATCCCTTACAACTGCCCCTCCAGATCATTGAAAGAATTCTAGTTTGAGAAATCTGAAACTCTGGGAAGGGGGTCCTTAATCTTTCTTGCAGCTTGAACCCCTGGGGAAGTGTGGCATTGTTAAGTGCCACCTCTTCTTAGAATAAAGCTTTGCAGGGTGAGGTGGAACATGCCTGTAATCCCAGTGGCTCAGGAGGCTGAGGCAGGAAGATCACAAGTTCAAAGACAGCCTCAGCAAAAGCAAGATGCTAAGCAACTCAGTAAGACTCTGTCTCTAAATAAAATACAAAATAGGGATGGGGATGTGGCTCAGTGGCTGAGTGCCCCTGAGTTCAATCCCTGGTACCAAAAAGAGAAAATAAAAGAAAAAAAAATACTAGATTACAAGGAAAACCAATTATGTTGAAATAAAGAAGTATAAAAATAAGTGGTATAAAAATATATGTGCTTCCTGATTAACACACTGAACAACAAGATCCATCAGGATGCTTAATAACCACAATAGTTGAAAAATAGAGAAAACTAGCCACAAAATCTGCAAAGCTGTAAAAATGATACAAAAAAAATCTGAGAATTTTGTAATGCGTGTGATGGTGCACCAATAGCATTCCTATATTCATGGTGGGAAGAAATGGTAAATGGCAGTCAGAGGTTTGTGAAGACAAAGGCATAATACTTTTCTCATCCAAACTCACAAACCTCTGAACCACAAATAAGGAGGGAAGATGGATCCCATTTTGAGCAGTGTTCAGTCCTCAATTAGCTCCTCTTTACTAGGATGTGGTTTGGCTCCACATACTATCAATAAGGAAAAGAGAGAGTATCCCTCAGCTTGGGCTGTTAGGGTGGAAAAGGAAGAGGGAGAAGGAGACACAGGAAGAAAATGACCTTCCAGAACAGGGTAATAGGTGGTGAGCCTGGATATGATTGGGAGGGCCTGAGAGCTGAAGGACAGCAGTCTTCAGCCCCAGGCCCATCCTGGCACTGTCCTGAGGTGAAAACATCTTAAGAAACCCATCACACACACATACAGTGTGAACCTTAACCATAGGTGGTACCCTACAATTTTTGTAGCAAAAGAGCTGGGAGCTGACCATTCCTTCTACTCCTCTGGGGAAGAAGTTTGGAGGATGTAATGATAACTTGGCTTTTGCTCTTTTCTCTAGGTACCCATGTGATGGAGGGCTCAGGACGAATGGTGGTGACTGCTGTAGGTGTGAACTCTCAGACTGGCATCATCTTTACCCTGCTGGGGGCTGGTGGTGAAGAGGAAGAGAAGAAAGACAAAAAAGGTAAGCACGACCCCCTTGCAGACCAGGAGAGGAGCTTTTAAGGCCACATTTTTTTTGTTGTTTTTGTTTGTTAGTCAGCAAAATAGTTACTGAGTGCCTTCTGTGTCCACGCCCTGTACCAACAGCCGCCTCCATCCTCAAGGCCCTGCTGGGGCCAGGTGGGCTCTGTCCGTTTCATCTCTAGGGTCTTGTCCCAGTCTCTGTTTTGTCCAGTCATGTCACAGAGGCCCCTCCTTCCCCTTGGGGCCAGGCCAAGGACACCGAGCATGAGGTTGAGTCTTCTGTTTCAAGCAGCAGAAACAGCCAGCATGAATAGGTCTCATCACCTTGATATTGAGCAGAAATTCCCACTGACGTTTATTCCTGCCACCATTGTCAACTCCACTAGGCAGAGCTGAAAAGCTACCCAACATAGACTTGTCCCATACGTGGGCAGTAGATATTCTGGGGAAGAAGGCCAATAGCATGGCTGTAAATATACTGCTCTAGGCCACCTCTCTGATTCCCCCTCAAGCTGCCACCTTGTCCCAGTTCTGATCCTTCCTCCCCCTTGAAAATAAAAAATCCAGCAGTGCAGTGGGTGTGGCCTGTGAGGAAATGCTTCTCAGGACAGATAAGGGATGCTCTTGTGAAAAACCCCAGTCCTGTCAGGCCAGGCCCAAATCCAGAGATCTGGGCTTCGGGCCCCAGCACACTCCGCTGCTTACCTGACACCCATACTCAGTCTCCGAGTCAGCCCCCTTTCACATCCTCAGTCTTTTATCTTCTTCCCTAAGCTCCAGGGGAAGATCCCCAACACCCAGAACTTCTGGAGCCTGGGAAGAAGAGAGATAAGAGGGCAGATGGTCCCTGCCTGGGTTTCAGGGGCAACTCTGCTATCTCCAGCTCTCAGAGGCCACCCAGGCATAGAGCCTGGGTCAGGATTGAAGTCTACTTGTTCCTGAGGGCAAAACCCATTTTCAGTGGGTCCCCTCAGATGATGAGATTGTGACTCTGCACGCACCCTCACGAGCAGGAACACTGGATCTGAGCTGTGGTCTGGGAAATCAAGAGGCTGGAGAGAGCAAAAGGTGCCAAGGTTGAAATGGAGGAGAGAATCTTGGCAGGAACATCCAGGGGGCATCAAGACAGTGTCCATATACCAAGGGAGAATCTGTGGCCAGGGTGGTCAGGCCAGGCACAGGGTTTAGGGAGTTGGGCAGGATGCTGTGGCCTGTATGAACCTCCTTGGCCTCACTGGGCTCAACTCAGGGACAAGGACACCCAGAAGCTCCCACAAGCCAGACCTGTGTTTATGCAAAGCCACTATGGAAGGCAGGTCTCAGTGGCCCTGGAGTGTAGTCAAGGTCCCTCTCTGAGCATGCACCAGTGAGACAAAATATTGAAAGATCCAGCTTCATGGAGGGAGAAGAGGTGGGATGCAGAGGGGACGTGGCACAAGAAACCTAGGAGGTGGGCCAGCATCTCAGGCCATCATGAGTAGCTCAGCCGCTCCCATCCCATCCCCCCATCCCATTGTCTCAACTGGAGACAGCTTAGAGCCCGCCAGTTGCAATTTCCCATTTCAGAATGACCTGGGGGTGTGTGTGTGTGTGTGTGTCTGTGTGTGTGTGTGTGTGCGTGCGTGCGTGCGTGCAGATGAGGCTGTGTGTACTTCTCCATCATTAACATGTCTCAAAAATCATCACACAGGTGTGAAGAAGGGGGATGGCCTTCAGCTACCAGGTACAGTAAGACACCCTTTAGAGTAGAAGGGGCTTTTAGAAATAGCTGCAGCCTTTGGTCACCAGGGCCTGACATTAGACCACCAGCACCCAGTGGGAGGTGGCCCTATTACAGATGCCCCTCTGTGCCCTCATGGGATGCCAGCCCAGCAGGACACACCAGCACCTCACTCCACCTCTTGCCTTACGGGACTTCACTGTACCATATGGTACCACCCCGCTCTGCCCAGTCCCCTCAGCCCTGCACACCAGCATATGACACCTCACAGTACACAAGACCCCGACACCCCCACTCACACCCCAGAGTCCACCTGGCTTCCCATCCCCCACCACACAACATGTCTGCCTCACCCACCAGCATCTCTCACCCTACAGGGTCTCATTTCTCCTCCTCCCCACAGAACCCCAGTCCCCCAAGAAAGAGCAACGGACGTGAATTTTGTCCATCTCAAATCATGCTTAATTGCTAAATTAAGAAAACTTCACTAGCGCCTTTGCTTGTGTACAAACTGAGACATGCTTGATGCTACCTTTTAAACAGAAGGCTATCTCACCGGGGGGTCACCAGGGCGATCTTTAGTATGCAGGTTAGGGCAGGAAGAGCCAGTGATGGCAAGTGCCCTGAGAGAAGGCAGGATCCTAACAGCTGTCACCACCACTGACTGCTGGTCCACCAGGACACAGTGACGGCCATCGTAGCAGACAGCCCTTCTGCATGGCTGGTGCACACGCTGTACCCCTCACTGAACAGCTTGAGCTGACTCCTGGTCATCGGGCCCCCTGGTCCTGATGGGCAGCCAGACCCCTTCATCCAACATGGGGCCCACCCGACCCATTGGGCCAACATTGTAGAGACCTCACCGCGGAAGAATGCCATCCTCCTGATCACCCTGCTCATCCTCCATGTTTTATTTCAAGACCCTCCATTGTCTGAGTCCCCACCAACCCCACCCCTGTGGCATCTCCCTGGGAACATTTCACCTCCACCCCCAAATTTGAGTTTCTTGATTTCTAATGGAGACTTGTTGTTGTTGCTGTAGAGTCACATGGTTTTCCCGCCAGTGGGTTCATGTCTTTATCGTGGTTGCTTTTCTCCATTGTGACACACTGCATTTTCCATCCCTCCCACCCTCCCTCTGCAGCGGCAGACGGTGTGGCAGCTGCAAACGCTGCAGATAGTGCGAGGGCCAGCCTAGTCAATGGTACGTCTCCGATGGCAATGGTCAGTCTCGGTCTGGGTTGGACGGGCCTCTCTCTCTTCCACTCCCAACTCTGGGCTTTCTCTCCCTGTTCTGGACTGCACAGATCTCGGATGTGCATGGGATCTCGCACTGGGACAGTCACCCTCCCACATGGGGCAGGCGCTTAAGAGCAGAGCCACAGCCGGAAACCAACTCCACACCTGCTTGTAGCTACCCAAAGGTGCTGGCTCCTGTTGGGCCCTGAATCCCCCCCAGGGGAACCCAAAGTGTGGGACATGACTTTGGCTTCAGATTTGGCCCCCAAGAAGCAGTGTCCCACCTGGCGTGGCCCTCCGACTAAGTGCATTTCTGCCCTGGCTTTGGGAAGATGGCCTGGGGCCTGGACCTGAGCTGAAGCCGGCATCTGGGTCCCCAGTGAAGAGTCCCAGCCTCCACTAAAATTCCCTGGAGGCAGGGGGATCCCAGCCAGGGTTCAGCTCCTCGGCCCCACCCCAGAGCATGGCTGAGCCTGGTGGAGTTTTCTTCCTCTTCTCTTTCACGGAGCTAACGGGCAGGGGGTTTGCTTGGGCTCGGGCCTAGTTCTGTCCCTCCGAGGTGGACTGGTGTTTCTTGCTTTTGCCTGTGCTGGGGCATTTGTGGGACTCTGCATTCTTACTGCCCCCTGGGGTGGTGGGTGAGGGCGGGGTTACCCCATGTAGCTGGGATCTGCATCTGTCCCTCCTTACGCACGGCCTGGGAGGAATTCCGTGCACTTGCCTCCAAGCCTCCAGAAGATTTCGTTCTCTTCAGGACAGATGAGGCTTCTGTTGACTCAGATACTGCCCCTGCCCCAAAGTTAGGTAACATGATAATCAACCAGGCTGTTCCGGGATTGCTGAGAGCCACTATGGCAAAGCCATGAAAACATGACTCCAGAGAAGCCAAGGAAGGAACAGAAATGTCTTTTTTCTCTGGTGTCCCTGCACACCAGGCCCTGGGCCACAGGTCTCTCATCCTCTGTTTCATTCACTCCTCACTGCTCCTGCAAAGCATGGAGACTTGTCACCGCCCCCAGCCTCTGCCCCAGACCTCTGTCAAGCTACCTGTCTGCAAAGTGACCAGCTACGGAAGCTCCTAGAAGATGTCAGGGGCTAGACAAGGCGCTTCCACAAGCAGTATGCTAATCTGGGTGCAGGTCTATTTCAGGCCCAGGAGGAGAAAGGAGAACAGCTTGGGATGTGGGAGGTGTCACACGTCAGGGAGGGCTGGCTGAGAGGTGACAGAACACAGATGGGCAAACCCACAGCTGGGGCAAGAAGGCACCAGGTGTTGGTACCCACTTCCCCCAGGTAATGAGCAGCAGACCCCATCTATGCCAACCAGCTCCAGGAAAAAAAAAAAAGGAGGGGGGTGTAAAGTTCACTTTCAATTTGCAGCCCCCAACCCCCCAGCATCCAGAGGGAAAAAAATCATAGGAGAAATAAGGAACTTTCATTTCTTAATCATCTGTTATATGCAGATGCTGTTGCAGGATTTCCATCTTATTTAATCCCCATGACACAGGTTTTATTATCTCTAATTTAACTATGAGGAGACTGAGGTTCGAGGAGACCCAAGACACGCACCCAAGAACACAGGGCAAGAAAGTAGCAGAACTGGGATCTCAACCCAGAACCCAGACGGGGCTGGCTCCAAAGTGTGTGCTCCTCCTGAACCAGGATCTCTTGATGGAGTGAAGCTTACAAGAAGAGGTCTTTCCCCTAAGAGAAGGATCCTGTGGTCAAAGATGTTTGAGAACCCCTGGTCTGAATTGATTGCTTCCTCACTTGCAGAACTGCTCGAACCTTGAACTTGCTGATGGTAGCAGAGAGCTGTAGACTCATAAAGGGTGCCCAGGCTGACTTGACAGCAGGACCCTTCCTGGCTGAATCTTGTGGGACTGGTATGCCCCATAAATACCTTTTGGGAAACTGCCCTATGCCAGGAGGACCCAAAGTCTGGGCATCGCTTTCAAGCTTGTTAGAAATGCAGAATCTCAGGCCCCACCCCAGATCAACACAATGAAAATCTGAATTTTAACAAACCTTTCATGCTCTAGGAAAGAGCACCATGAAAGTTTATGAGCCTTGATAAGTGAGAGAATTAACTGTAATTTTATCCCCTTCCTCTGAGCCAAATCTTGATGACTTAGATGTTGTAGGAAAAAAAACTGGGGTTCCAGCATCCCCCAACTCTACTCCCCCAAGCTCCACAACTCAAAGATAGATGTGTTCCATGCATCCTGGAGGTGTGATTTCCTTAATTGCTTTATTATTTTTTTATGCGTCTTCACATATGGCTATTTAATACACCACTTAGATTATTATAAGCAGGAGTCATAACGTATTACCATTAACTCCTAACATTTATGTAGCACTTTGCAGGTCCTTCCCATGAGCATGACCTTAGTTGATATGGACCCATTTCACAGAGGAGGAGAGGGTGGCACAGTGACATTTTCCAGATCTCCTAGCTGGTGGTCTGTCTCCTCCAAATCTGTGCTCCTCTCACCTCTATCCCTCCTGATGTTCAAAGAGAATGGACTCAGAAACAGCCACATCTGGAAGAGAAGGGCCTCCGAGACCCCTCCCAGCCCCGCTCTCAGATCCTGCCACATCCCAGCTCCCCTGAAATAAAGCCCACCCTCCTGGTCCCTCATAGGACCAGAGCTGGCTGTCCCATCACAAGGCAGAACCAGGCAGGCAAGAAGAGTCCCAAATAAGTCCCTTGCTTCTGAGAAACCAGGCCATCTGCACCAAAGCACTCCTACCATGTACTCCCTCCCTCCAACATATGCATTGGCAATTATTTTTCTAGCCACGTGATCACTGTGGCAATAAAAGAGGAAATTGCTAGCTGGGTCTAATGGGCACGCACACCGGCTAGCGCATCTGATAATATGCAATTCAAATAAAGGCCCCTTCGAGCCTTCTAAAAGAGACTATTGAAGCTGAGTCCTCTGGTGCCCCTTAGCCTAGTTAGTAAAATTATTTTAAGAAATAAAAATAATTGTTGTTCATTCCTGTTTGCTCTGAAAAGTTTTCTCTCTGGTTGTTGTTTTATAAATCCAGTAGGAAGACTTTAACAATAGAGCAATGGGGGCCTTTCTCTTTAAACCCCAGCCTTGCTGTGAGGGCTGGTGAGAACAGCCCAGCATGGACACTGGAACAGAACGTGCCGAGCAGGGACCAGGGAAGCCAGTTCCCTCCTGTGTGTCACCTAAAAATTGGGTTCAGAAATGGTAACAAGCTAATCATGTGGTTTCAAGGTGATGCTGAGGTTGCCCATAAATGCAGGCTGCCTCTGAACATCCTTTGGCCTCGGTTTCCTCATCTGTAACATGAGAGTGTTGACAGTCCCTCCCACCCCACCTTGCAGGGAATGACAAGAGGTGACCCTTGCAAAAGCCCTTTTAAATGGCAGAAGGCTGAACCATGCAAGTGGTTATTGAGAGGGTGAATTTTTTTTTTTTTAAGTACTGGGGATTGAACCCAGAGGCACTTTACCACTGAGCCACATCCCCCACCCTTTTTATTTTTTATTTTGAGGTAGAGTTTCACTAAGTTGCTTAGGGTCACTCTTAGTTGCCTAGGCTAACCTCGAACTTGCCTCGGCCTCCTGAGTCCCTGGGATTACAGGCATATGCCGCTGTGCCCAGCTGAAGGTGACTTTTGAACACTATGGGAGGTGACTATTGGGATAAAGGTGGAAGCCGAGGCTGGGAGATGTGAAGTCACACGGCTAGTTGGTGCCAAAACAGGGACCCTCAGGACCTCTATCCCAGCAGCACCGTGGGACATGCCCTTCCCTGGGCTCAGAGGGGCTTCAGGAAATGAGACAGCAGAGTGGAGACACACACACACACTTTGGGGCCAGCTGTCCACTGTCCTGCAGAGACGTCAGTGGGCCATCTCCCCCTCTGAGCCTCAGTTTCTCATCTGTAAATGGGTTTGTTTCAAGAGTACCCTTCATAGGGGAGGCCATGGACAGGATCACATGAAATCGTGGAGGCCACCCGAGCCTGATACCTGGTGGGCGTGGCAGCAGATGTCCAAGGGTGGCCGGCCCCCTCAGACCCCTCCCTTAGTGGCAAGGACCAGAGGAATAAATCCAGATGAGCGGCACAGGCCAGGGGACCAGAGGGTACAGGAGAGAGGCAGGTGTTCCAGGTGAGAGACAGCAGCCACCAGTGCCACCCACCTGCCCTGTTTAGTGGGCGGGGAGCCCCATAGTCACCCTTTCCCCTGCGCTAAGCAGCAGGCCCTGGCATAGAAGGAGCCGCCCAGGGGAACCCACTGACTCTACTTATCCTGCCTACCATGGCCGGAGCTGCAGAATAAAGTCCCCTTAACCAGGGGTCGTAGCTTTCCCCTCGGGAATGAGGATGCTTCATGAAGCCCCCCGACATGCTCAGGGCCCCTCAAAGACCACTCCTGGGGACGTCTTGCTCACTCTTTGCCCTGGTCACTGTCAGAAACATCCATGCAATAGCTTCTCAGCCCTTCAGAAACATGAGGAAAAAGTAGAATTGTCCCCTGGAGCCAGATACAAAGAGACACAGAACTACATACATCATCCAGACTCTGCTTATTCTAGAATCAACCCCCCACCCTTCTCTCTTTCTCCCTCTGTCCCTCCCTCCCCCCCTCCCCCCCCCCCCCCTCTCTCCCCCCTCCCTCTCTCCCCCCTCCCTCTCTCCCTCCCTCCCTCTTTTTCTGTCTCTCTCTTTCTCCATTGTGTTTACATGTTTTCTTTTACAAGGAAACAAAAAGGTTGTAGCTGAACATTCCCCTTTGCCCCCTCCCAGCCCACAAAATACAGCTGTCAAAAAGTTATAAAAGCCTCACTGGGTTGGGGGGGTCTGGAGTTCTCCCGCCTCCTGCCAGCAGACTCTGTCCCCTTGACTCTCAAATATGGTCCTTGAATCTATAAAACACTCAGGGCCAAGGTGATTGCAACAGAAACCCTCTCTCCTGAGTCCCCTAGAGAACCCACAGTCACTCAGGCTGACAGCCCCCTGTGGCCGGCCTGGCAGCCAGCTTGCCCAGGTTCCGCGGGCCTACGCAGCACCCGAACAGCTCAGTCCTTCCTCCATCTGTGACGTGAATGTCCATGGCCTGTTACGTCTTTGTGATGACCGACCTGTGCCGTCTGTTCTCTGTTGTCTGTTAAAATTCTTTGTCGTGTAGGTAAAATGCAAGATGGCAATGTGGACTCCAGCCAGAGCAAAGGTAAACCTCTGTCCCGGCCTCTGTGGTCGGCGCGGCCCCTCCCCACCCACACCAGATTGCACCAGAGGCGGAGGCTAGTTACGAGGCCTGGTGTCCCTGGGGATGTAGCTGTGGTACTCATGGGTGCCAGGCCAAATACAGAGGTGTCCCTGGGGAGAAGAGAGGACACTCCGGGGGGCCAGCGTCTCCCCAGCCTTTGAGCTCCCGGCCCATTCAGCTGCAGACTCAAAACTGGTTCTTTGAGCTCTTTACAGGTCGAAGGATGGGGTAGGTTAAGAGCTGGCCCAATCTCTGTCAAAAACGGGCCACAGGTCCTCCGTTCAGTCCCATGCTGAAGAGGCCATACTGACTGGGGACTAGGTACCTGTGCACAGAGGTTCACCCTCTTTTACCTTTTTTAAGTGTTTTTCATATTTTTCATTTTTGACCCTCCTGTCTGCTGGATCCTCGATATCTTAATAGCATGCCCCAGGGGCATGCTGGGAAGGCCCAAGACTGTCTTTCCTATCTGACTATGGGAAAGACCAAGGGTCCATTTTGAGTAGGGTCTGTGGGTTGGTTCAGGCTCCAAGGGGACCCCAGTCCACTCCTGCTGGGAACCCAGGGTAGAGCCTGCTCTCTGAAGCAGTGAGACCCCTGGCAGCCCGAGACTCCAACTGGAAGAGGCAGGCCCCCGTCCTGGGCTTCTGTGCCCACCATGGGGGGGCCCAGTCAGGGCAGCCAACCCCTCCACTGGGCAGGCAGGGTGGGTGCCAGCATCCCCACCCTGAAAGGCTGACCTGCGTGCGCATCTGTGTGTCTGTGTGTGTGTGCGCGCGCACATGTGCGTGCTCTGCCTCTCTCCTCCAGCCAAACAGCAGGACGGGGCAGCCGCCATGGAGATGCAGCCCCTCAAGAGTGCCGAGGGCGGCGACGCAGACGACAAGAAGAAGGCCAACATGCACAAGAAGGAGAAGTCTGTGCTGCAGGGCAAGCTCACCAAACTGGCAGTGCAGATTGGCAAAGCGGGTGAGTGTGCAGCGGTGGGGGCTGAGGGGACTGAAGCCACCAGTGAGACCCCAGGCTGGCCTCGGTCACCTTGAAAGAGAGGGTCCTGCCGGGCGGGTGCGGGGGGGGGGGGGGGCACACACCTGTAAATCCCAGGGCTCAGGAAGCTGAGGCAGAGGAGGATCATAAGTTCAAAGCCAGCCTCAGCAAACTTAGCAAGACCCTAAGCAGCTTGGTGAGAACCGATCTTTAAACTAAATAAAAAGGACTCGGGATGTGGCTCAGGGGTTAACACTCCCAGGTTCAATTCCCTGTACCAAAAAATAAACAAGAAAGAGATGGTCCTGGAAGCCCAGGCTTTCCTGCCATAGCCATCAGTCTGAGTCCTGTATGCAGTAAACACTCAGCACTTAGTGAGGCAGAACAAGGAGGGTAAAACCCTGGATCGGGGCAGATGGCCTACACTGCAGTCCATACATGGCTGTGAGAACTGGGCCAAGTATCATCAGCTTGCTCTGAGCCTCTGTCTTCTCACCTGTAAAATGGGGTTACAGGTCATCCCCACTTGACAGGTTGCTCTGAGGATTAAAGGGAATTATGTATACAGAGTACTTAGCCCTTGGCACATGCAGTGACTAAAGAGGGATCAGATTCCGCAGGGCCTGGAGATCTAGGCAGCTCAGATTTTTATCCTGAGGACAGTGGGAGCCATGGAAGAGATTTGAGTAGGGCTGGGCAGGGACGGACTGGGGCTTTACAATGACCACACCAGCTGCAGTGCAGAGGAAAGATTAAAGAGGCTGAGGGCATGCCAGGAGCCTGGGGAGAAGCCCATGGTCTGCGCTCCAACCAAACAAGCAGGGCTTCCCAGCTGAGGTAGTGGCTGCACGTGGTGGCTGGTGACAGCCCCCCTGGCCCGAGAAGCTGAGCCCAGCTGCAAGGTGAGTCCCAACCCTCCAACACAGCCTTCGCTGCCCCTCCTGGCTAAGGATACGGCCAGGGCCAAGGCATCCCCACCTGGCTGCTCTCCTCGGTGGCTGTCTCCCTGGCTCTAATTATAGACACCACAGCAGCGGGAGGGAGGAAAATTATAGGCCCGGCTGTCTATATTTAAACCCGGGGGCCTGGTGACAGCTCCGGGCTGCTGGGAGCTTGGCTTCCCGCCCCTGTGACTGTGAGACAGGGATAGAGCCCGGCTCTGAGGCCCCGCAGCTGGAGGTGGGGGGTGGGGAATGACGGGCCCAGGGATTTCCTCTGTCCCCACCATCGCTGTCACAGGCACAAGACTCCGTGGGAACGTGGCCCTGGGTAGGGGAGGAGACTAAGAAGACAACAGCCCCGTGGCCCTCAGAGTCCTCCCTCCCCTCCCTCCCTGACCTTTCACAGCCTACCTCTTGGGCTGAATTTCCTGCAAGCAGATCCGAGATGGGTGGTGAGGGATTTACGGAGATTTTTCTCGTGTGGAGCCTGCAGTAAGGGGAGGAAGCCAGATGCCACTGAGATTTCTGGAACATTCCTAGTCTCCACTTGATTCCGCAGGCCCATGAGCCACATGACAGGGCCCGTCCACCTTGCAGCAGGGCCTGGGCTTTGGGACCCCCCACATCAGCCACTGGTGGGTGGGTGGGTTCACTAGAACCCAGATGGGGGTTGGTTCACTACCTTGACAAGGGGACTCCCATCGCCCCCAGTGCCACTTCCCTCTGGCAAAGGCTGCAGATGTAAGCAGTCTCTGCAGCACCTGCCGCAGGTGGGAGAGGGGCACACTGAACTGGTGAGAGAGACCCCAGGGGATCTCGGGAGGTTGCCAACGGCATCCCTACTGCTTCAGGATCTCCTGTGGCCGTGAACAAGACACTTCTCCTGTTGAGCCTCAGTTTCCTTTTCCTGTTGTTCCTGTGTCTGCCCCAAGGTCACCTCCTCCAGGAAGCCTTCCCTGGCTATCCTGGATAAAGCAACTTCCCCTGCCACGTCACCTTCTGTCACATCAGCTTGGTTTTTCTTTGCAGCATCAATGATCTTGTGGCTGTGTTATCTGTTTCTGGTATGCCTGTCCCTCTAGAACATCAGGTCCCCAAGGGTAGGAACTCTGTAACTGCTGTGCCTCTAGTTCCTAGCCTAGGAACTACTATGTGACTGGCATGTCATAAATGCTCAAAAGGTATTTATCAACAAGTGAAGAAAGGGGCTGGGGCTGGGGCTCAGCGGTAGCACACTTGCCTGGGTTCGATTCTCAGCACCACATATAAATAAAGGAATAAAATAAAGGTTCATTAACAGCTAAAAAAAAAATAAAATAATAAAATAAAATAAAGGTCTATCAGCAACTAAAATTTTTTTAAAAAATGAGGAAATAAGTGATTCCAAATTCACCTCCCTGTTTTGTGAAAACTCTGTGCAAATGGTTCTTTTTGTGCCCACCCAGTCCTTGGCACACATTTCTGAAGCACCTGCTAAGAGTCAGGTGGGCACTGTGCTAGGCACTTTACGTGAAGGAAATCTGCATCCCCATGGTACAGAGGAAGAGACTGAGGCTCACAGAGGACCAAGGACTTACTCTAGGTCACAGAGTAAGGAAGGAGCAGAGCTGGGAGGTGCTTTGAGTTCTGTTAGACCCTGGGGACCTTTCAGCCAAGTGTTTAGTCCATACCTCACTTCTCAGGGCCCCTTGGGCCCTGCCCGGAGCCTTCTAAGAAGGTGTCCCCCTGTGTTGCAGGCCTGGTGATGTCAGCCATCACCGTGATCATCCTGGTGCTCTACTTCACCGTGGACACCTTCGTGGTCAACAAGAAGCCGTGGCTGCCCGAGTGCACGCCCGTCTATGTGCAGTACTTTGTCAAGTTCTTCATCATTGGTGTGACGGTGCTGGTGGTCGCTGTGCCCGAGGGACTCCCTCTGGCCGTCACCATCTCGCTGGCCTACTCCGTGAAGGTGAGCTGGGAGTCCAGGACCAGTCAGCTGACATCCCCAGCTGGGAGCCTGGGGAGGGGCCCGAGGGTTGTCGCTGGGGTTGGGAGATGAGCCAAGAAGCATATGGACATATCAGGGTCTCAGAGGGGATGTCTGTTGTCCCCAAAACTCAGACACCTGAGGATGCTGGGGACAGACCCAAGAGCCCCACCCTAGCTAAAGGGGTCTCCACTATTTAGCCCAGCCAAATGTCGCCTTGTAGATTGCAGGCCCAGAGGGTCAGATCTTCACACATCTTTCAAGAGAAGTCAAAACTCTGCACTTACTGTAAATTCTCCAGATTTGTATTGACAATCAGCTCAATCCCCTAAAATAAAATAGGACTGGGGGTGTAGCTCAGTAGCGGAGTGCTTGCCTCACATGCATGAGGCTCTGGGTTCCATCCCTAGTACTGCAAAAATTAAATAAAATCCAGATATCGCTTTGAGGCCAAAACCTATCCCCATCCCACTGAACATAGGCGGAGGTCTGGCAGCCACAGCAACAGGCCCCTCGTAGCCATAGTGTTTACACAACTAATCTCAGAGGTCGCAATCTAAAAAGTGTAAGAGAGGTAAGATGAAAACAAAATGATGCCTAATTTAACAGAAGCCTCCTCACCTTGGTTATAGACTGAGAGGTTTTAAAAGCAGTTAAATGAAGGACTCTTGGGCAGTGGATGTTCACTGGGGCAGCTTGGGTCTGGGGGGCTTTCCTAAGCACAATCGATGGCAGAGTTCCACTCCCACCTGCCCAGGCAGTGGTCATCCGTGGGTCCCAAACACCACAAGTCTGACCCTCTGTGGGTCACTCCAAGGCTCTCACGCCCTGCTCATTTCTTCCCTTTGCCCCCGGGGTTTCCCCACCTTGGAGGGCAGGGCTCTGGATTCTTTTCGCCCAGGGTCCTGATGCCATGACGTCCCCCACAAGGACAGAGGTGTGGTCGTGTTTATAAATAAGGCCCCCACTCCAAGAAATTGGCAGGGCTTTTGGAGGGCACAGTGAGCATCTGTTTCCAAGTTGGAATTTGGGCTGGGCTCTCCGATGTAATTTCATCCAGAAAAGAGATCTCCAGGCTGGTGCCAGGAAGTAGCAGCTCTGTGAAATATATACAGCCCTTATCGTCTCTCTGTTTTAGGTTTTTCAGAGAAACTCCATCCCACAAACCAAAACCCAAACAGGTCTCATGATAAGATGCTCCTCGGGAGCCCAGGAACAAGAGAGGGCAATATTTACATAGCCATGAGTAGGGGCTCCACAGCCACCCCACCGAGCTGGGGATCTCCTTGAAAACTGCACAGACCCGGTTTGGAGGAACCGTGTGTCTAGACAATCTTAGGCCCCTGTGCTGTCTGCAGTTTGTATATCTGGCACCTGTTAGCTTTGGTCATCTTAGGTCATGTTACTTATGCAGTCACTTGGTAAACTTAGAGCACCCAGCCCAGGAGAAGCAGACGATTCCTCTCTGAGCCTGGATCTGGGAGCCACCATCAAGAGCCCAGTAGTGACCACTTGGATCGGTGCTACCTGGGAGAAACAGATGTGAGCCACATTAAATGTCCAAGTAGCCCCATTTTGTTAAAAGTAAAAAAGGAACAGGTGAAGATAACTTTAATAATGCAATTGACTTAACCCAATATATCCAAATCATTATCAATGCAACATGTGATTGATGTAAAAATTATAGAGATACTTCATGGAATGATCTAGGCTGTGTGGTTAAATAGAGCTTAAAACATTAGCCTTCAACCTCACTGGGTGTGTGATCCTGGTCTAATCTCTTTGCCTAGATTTCTTCAGTTGCCAAAAGAGATCTTCTCAGGGTTCATGGGATTCTTACAACATCAGACAAGAAAATAAATGCAAAAGGCTCTTTGCAGAATGTAAAGTGTATTGCAAATTCCAAACATAACATTTATTGGCATTATTCTCATGGGTTATAATCAGGAAAATTCAATAGCAATAATCCTATCAGTATCTAACTTAAACCTCTGGTTAAATTATTCAAGTTGCACTCTTATTTTACCCTTGCTGTAAAGAATTATAATGAGGAGCAAGAATAAAGCAAATGAAATCTCTAGGCCCAGCCGGGCAGGGTGGCACATGCCTGTAATCCCAGTGGCTTGGGAGGCCGAGGCAGGAGGATTGCAATTCCAGAGTCAGCCTTAGCAACTTAGCAAGGCCCTAAGCAACTCACTGAGACCCTGTCTCTAAATAAAACACAAAAAGGTCCAGGGACGTGGCTTAGTGGTTAAGCACCCTGGATTCAATCCCTGGTATCAAGAGGGGAAAAAAATCTTCTCTAGGCACAGACTAGGACTCCATCTAACTCAGCCTCTAGCGGCTTTTCTCACCCTTCCTTCCCAGGTAGGGTCAACTTGTCAGGGTACCTGCATGAGAAATGGTGGTTCTTTGAAAATTACTTTATTTTCATTACTTGTTTAAAAACCTAGAAGAAGCAGGGACTGAGCCAGAAAAGGGGAGGCTCTATAAAAATAATAATATGTATAGTCGGGTTTCATTTTGTTATAAATTTAAAAAGAACAGATGTTGATGTATAAAGATGTAGCTGTTCTAGGCGGCAGTTGATGGCTCACTTTTCATTTTCCTTTTTGTGTATTTTTATTTAAAAGGAATTCATAGTTTTTATTGTGCGAGTTATGTGCCCATTATAGAAAAATGGAATCTATGGATTTTATAAAAAGAAGTCAATAAAAATCTAAAATTCTATCACTGAGAGATAATGACATTCATATTTTGATATTTCTCCAAATGATTTCCTATATCTATAAGCACGTGTATGCTAAACTTATTTACCTTTGGCAAAATTGAAATGACACTGAAAAACAGGCACCAGTAGAGGATGATACATTTGAGAAAAATCCACAACCAAATAAGGAATAATTATTTATGCTCAGTTAAGAGTAAAATATTTGAAGTAATCAAGAGAGAACCAACCTTAATTTTTTTATTTCTTTTATTTTTTATTTTTTTGCATTACAATTCTTAATACACCTTTATACCACAATTTGTCATGTCTCTGGTTGTATATAAGGTATGTTGACACCAAATTCACATCTTCATACATGTATTTTGTATAATGATGACCCTCTCCTTCCACCATCCTAGCTATTCCCCTTCTCCCTCCCTTTCCCTCCCACCCCTGTTCCCTATCTAGAGGTAATCTTCCTCCCATGCTCTCCCTCCCAACCCCATTTTGAGTCATCTCCCTTATATCAGAGAAGACATTCAGCATTTGTTTTTTGGGGATTGGCTAACTTCACTTAGCATAATCTTCTCCAATGCCGTCCACTTCCCTGCAAATACCACGATCTTATTATTTTTTATTGCTGAGTAATATTCCATTGTGTATAAATGCCCCATTTTTTTTATCCATTCATCCACTGAAGGACATCTAGGTTGGCTCCACAGTTTAGCTATTGTGAATTGTGCTGCTATAAACATTGAATGTGGCTGTGTCCCTGTAGTATGCTGCTTTTAGGTCCTTTGGGTATAGTCCAAGAAGAGGAATAGCTGGGTCAAATGGTGGTTCCATTCCCAGATTTCCAAGGAATCTCCATACTGCTTTCCAAATTGGCTGCACCAATTTGCAGTGCCACCCGCAATGTATGAGTGTGCCTTTTTCCCCACATCCTCGCCAGCACTTGTTGTTTGTCTTCGTAATGGCTGCCACTCTTCTGGAGTGAGATGGTATCTTGGTGTAATTTTAATTTGCACTTCTCTGATTGCTAGAGATGATGAGGATTTTTTTTTTTTTGGTATATTTTTTCCACCATTTTTTTCCATAGACAATGTAGATTACTTCTGTATCTTGAGGTAAAAAATTAAATGATCTTTTAAATGATTCAAATGATAAAAGAGAAAGAAAAGGGCCATAACAGTCAAAACGAGTCCAGGTGTAAGAGGCCTTTATAACCAAGATCCTCTGACGTGCAGAGGCTAAAGGGAAACCGAGGCTCTGCCTCAGTTTCTGCATATCACCCAGGGCTCCCCCCCAGGCACCCCATCTCCCCCACCCCCCCTCCTCACCATCACCCTTTTATCTGTCCTTCCTCCCAGAAAATGATGAAGGACAACAACCTAGTGCGCCACCTGGACGCCTGTGAGACCATGGGCAATGCCACAGCCATCTGCTCGGACAAGACAGGCACTCTGACCACCAATCGCATGACGGTGGTGCAGGCCTATGTCGGTGACGTCCACTACAAGGAGATCCCGGATCCCAGCTCCATCAACGCCAAGACCATGGAGCTGCTGGTCAACGCCATCGCCATCAACAGCGCCTACACCACCAAGATTCTGGTAAGTGGGCACCTGCGGCATCCCCCGCTAGGGGGCGCATCGTCATGAGATGACGCAGAGGTACCTGAGGCCTTCGCTAGGGGGCGCATCTGTCCATGATGCGACCCAGAAGTCCTGGGCAGATTGAACGATGGCATTGACGTTCTCAACTCCTGCTGATGCATTCCCAGGTGATCAGATAATAAACAATTCATTTCTGTTTGATTTGATATTCTTCCAACTTTAATGTCTGTGTGATCAAACAGAAAAGATTGTTAATTATTACCATCAATTATTATTTTTTTAAATCCTGCCATTGATCCCCTTGCCAAAATGTTTTTATCAATTAGTTTATGCTATGTAACAAAACAAAATACTTCGAGCCAGACATGGTGGTGCACCCCTGTAATCCCTCTGACTCCAGAGGCTGAGGCAGGAGGATTGAGAGTTCAAGGCCAGCCTCAGCAATTTAGGCCCTAAGCAACTTAGTGACACCCTGTCTCAAAAAATTTTTAAAAAGGCTGGGAATGTGGCACACTAGGTAAGCACCCCTTGGTTCAAAAAACACACACACACTTCAAAATTTAGTAACAGAAAATGAAACTGCAGTCAGCCCTCCATGTCTGTGGATTCCGTATGCTGATTCCATCAACTGTGGGTAAAAAATATGCAGAAAAAAAGTTCTAGTTAGGACTAGAATTGTTGCATCTGTACAGCACGCATACAGACTTTTTCCTTGTCATTATTTCCTAAACAATACACTAAAACAACTCTTTACGTGTAATATTTAGACTGGTATTATAAGTCAGCTAGAGACAAGTTAAAAAGTATGGGAGAGGATTGTGTGGGTTCTGTGTAAATGCTGTGCCATTCTATTTAAGGGGCTGAGCATCCAAAGACGTTGGTATCTGCTGTGGGTCCTGGAACCAATCCCCCACAGGGACTAAGAGCTGGCTCTATGTAGCTAGCAATCCTGCAGTTCAGTGGTTCTGGCTGTGCTCAGCAAGGAGGTTCTTCCAGTCTCAGCTGGGCTCCCTCATGCATCTGCAGAGCTTCAAGTGGCCAGCTCTGCTGATCTTGGCAGGACCATTGGCTGATCTGACCTGGCCGCCTCTAGGTTACCTCTGCTCTGCCGTGTAGTCTCACCTCCTCTGGCAGGCTAGTCTGGGCTTATTCACATGGTGACAACAGGGTTCTTAGAACTGAGGTGTTCAGGGTCTCTTGAGAACTGGGCTGTAAACTTTGTCACTTTGACACATTCTGTTGACCAGTGCAAGTTGGGAGGCCAACCCAGATTCACAGAGTGAATTAGAGATTCCGCCTCTTGCTGAGAGGTGCTGCACAGGCACATGGATTCATAGAAGGGAATAATTGTGGCCATTTTTATAAACAATCTGCCACCAATCATACCACTGTTGTAAGTAAGAGTAATAAAATTATTTATTTTGATGAAAAAAAAAAATCACTTTAAGTAGCTCAGTGAGACCCTGTCTCTAAATAAAATACAAAATAGGGCTGGGGATGGGGGCTCAGTGGTTGAGTGCCCCTGAGTTCAATCCCTGGTACCAAAAACTAAAATAAAATAACAATCACCTTACTCTGTCAGCTATGCTACTTAGTCTCATCATGCTGTGATGCCTTTTGGGTTTAGAAACACAAGTTGCCTCTTGGTAATTAACCAGCCTTTGGACTATGGACGAGAAGCCCAGAGTTCATTCATCCAGATGGCCACGGGCACCCAGATGCAGGGCATTTCTGCTTCATGGGCATCGGGGTGAATCAGCGGAGCTTTCTGCTTCCCCTCCACATGTGCCCGAGCCCTGACCTTCCCCTTCTGCCGGGAGCCAGCTGCAGCCTTCATAATCCGGTGGGATTTGTGGGAGCCGCCAAGTTGGGGAGTCAGCAGCATGAGTCAGCAGCGAGGGACTGGGGGTTGCTGTGGGGATAAGGAGGCAGCTCCGGGCCCTGCCTCTCACAGCCACCCCCATCACCCTGGAGCTGCAGGCCAAGGGAGGCAGAATCCACAGAGGGGAAAGTAGGTCGGAGAACATGTGCAGACGGGTGACAGAGAACCCTGCGGGTGATGCCAGAGATGACATTTTTGTCTCCTTTTTCCCCTGATTTGGGAATCAAGAGAGATCAGCGATGCTTTATTTGGTTCCCCAGGCCTTCCTAAAATAGCCACTACGCTGTGAATGAGTTTGTCCTGCAGATGTGGCAGAGAGGGGAGCGGCGATTCCCAGAACAGGCTTCCAGCCATGGGGGCAGCCATGTGGGCAAAGCCCTGTGCGGTGGGCTTGGATTGAGACGTAGCTTATTCAGTTACAGTAAGGAAGTCCCTGGATCTATCGGGAGAGCTGCTGAAACCTCTCCATGGTGTTAAATCTCAGATGGTCTCGGGAACAGCGGTGGCAAAGCTAGAATCTCACTTCCAGATATTGGTGGACTGAGGCTGTGTCCAGGTGGCATAAGAGACAAGGGTCAGTGAGTCCACTTGGGGAGAAGGTGCAGCTGCTTAGCTGGGGCCAGGCCAGGGACCTGGAAATCGGGGTCCTTGGTTTGTAATCCATGTCAATAGTCACATAGGGTCCCCTGCCGCTATATCCTAGGACCCCTGTGCCTGTATTTCTGGCTCTTTCCTGAAAGTATCGTGGCCACATGATTCTTTTTGTTGACAGCCATCAGTGTGGGAGGGGCAGTAGAGCCCCTGGTATGAGCGGACAGTGGTCAAAACTCCTACTCTGGAGCCAGACAGCCTGGGTTCCAATCTCTCGCTAGCTGTGTGAATCCAAACAAGTTACTTAACTTCTCTGTGCCTTGGTTTCTTGGTAAAATAATAGGGTTATTGTGAGGAGCCAATCAGTAAGTGGGACGTGCTGGGCACCACACCTGGCACATAATTAGCACACAGGATGACTGGGTGGTTATTCAGCAATAAAATTACCCAGTACAGGAGGATTCCATTTGGCAATGCAGGGACCAACAAGTAAGTAAATTACAGCAGATGCATCAGGGTAGAGAGGAAAAGGGTCTTGTCCAAAAGCCAATTAGCAGCAAAGTCAACCTCTGGCCACCTTATAGCCAGCTGTTGAGCCCAGGGGCCCAGCCAGATTCTTAGTCACTGAAACGAATCCCACAACACCATTAGACTGTGGTGGTCTTGGGAATGAGGGCCGGAGTTCAGGGTAAGTTTCCCTCCCAGGCCCTGCCAATTGGGCCATAGAACACAGTGGCTCTCAGGCGGGGACCACCCTTTCTTCGTCCTGATGAAGACAGTAAAGAGGCTAAGGCAGCTTGGTCCAGGGTAGAAGTTTCCAGGCATCTCCCAACCAGGCTGGGAAATCTAGACTGCAGGACGCCCTGAAAGCATGCAAGAGGAGGTGGGCAGGAAGGAGGAGCCGTGCCCTTCACTCTCACGACTCATCTGCTCCCGTGCAAAAATGGACCTGGCCAAGGAAAATGAGACCCTGGCGAGGGCTGGGCTCGCACACACCGAGTCTTCCCCTTCCCGAGGGCAACAGTCCTCTGTCTCTTCTCACCATCTGATGCAAGCAGTGGGGTCTTTTTCTTTTTTTTTTTTTTTTCCAAGAGAGAGAATTTTTTTTTAATATTTATTTTTTAGTTTTTGGTGGACACGACATCTTTATTTTATTTTTTTATGTGGTGCTGAGGATCGAACCTAGCGCCCCGTGCATGCTGGGCGAGCGCGCTACCACTTGAGCCACATCCCCAGCCCGGCAGTGGGGTCTTTGAGAACGAGAGACACAGTTGGGTCTTCTCCAGTCCCCGCAGCCTAGGCCTTTGGGAAATAGTGGGTGGATGGGCTGGTAAGTGAATTGGTTGGTCCATAAACAGATAGATAAATAATCAATGAGATGACAGGAAGGCAGAGAGAGGGAGGAACAGATGGGCAGATGAATGGAAGGTGGAGGGTGAGTAGGTAGATGGGTGTGTGTCGGGGTAGATGAGTGAATGGGTGGCTATGAATTAATAGGGGTCTCTGGGCAGGACTGATAACCTCTTCCTGTGACAGCCAGAGGTTCCATGTTCCTTGGCCAACACCAGGGCTTTGTCAACCCCTCCAACTTACCAAGCTGACTCTGCAGTTTCCCTTAGTCATCCAGGCTGTGCGGGTTGAACCAGAGAGCTCCTAATTTGCTGACGCCTTTCTTCTTTCAAACATGAACAAATTACATGTGTATTTGCAAGGGTAGGTAAAGAACCCAGGGGTGCTCTATCATTAAGCTACATCCCCAGCACTTTTTATTTTTTAATTCTGAGACAGGGTCTCTCGCTAAGCCGCAGAGGCTGGGCCTCAAACTTGCAATCCTCCTGCCTCAGCCTCCAGAGCTGCTAAGATTACAGGCGTATGCTACCAGCCAGCGGTGACACCTAGAGGAGGCTAATGAAGGCAGAGTACCCAGGACAGTGCAACAAGCCCTCCGTCCATGTCAGTTATTACTCTCATTACCACCATGATTCTTTCTGAGCCTCTGCAGTGGGCTTTGCCGGTCAGTCTCACTTGACCCTACACATCCCTTTCATCCCATCCGGCCAAACAGGACCACTCCCATGTTGCAGCTAGGAAAACTGAGCTGCAGAAACATCAAGTAACCTGCCACGGTCACTCCTGAAGACCCGGGATGAAGCTGAGTCCAGAAAATTCCAGAGAAGTTCTCCATGGTGGTCAGGGAGGAGGGACAGTCCAGGAGGCCCAGAGAACTTAAAATTCATGGCTTATTCAGAAAACATGGTGGTGTGTGGCCCTGGCATTTCTTTGAGGGCCAGAATAATGCAAAATTAGCCTGAAGCATGAAGCAAAGCTCTTTGGTAGCAAATAAGTCCCCAGTAGGCTTTCTCCTCACGGGACCCAAAAGAATCACTCAAAACACAGGTGAGGCGGGTACAAGGGCCAAGGTTGTAGGAAGGGTGGCCAGAAAAGGAGGCCCCAGGAGGCCAGCCTCAGCCCCATGCCCGTCCCTTCTGAGATGGTAGGTGAGGGGGCTCTTTCCACTCTTATT